CCCAGGCGGGTCTCGAACCCACGGGCTCATGCAATCCACTCACCTCAGCCTCCCAAAGTGCTGGGATTACAGGCTGAGCCACCGAGCCCGGCTCATCTCTGGATCTTTCTTTGTTTGCTTTTTTGTTTTTTTGAGTTGGAGTCTCACTCTGTCGCCCAGACTGGAGTGCAGTGGCTGCTCCCGGCCACCGCAGCCTCGACCTGCTGGGCTCCGGCGATCTTTCCGCCTCAGCCTTCCAAGTAGCTGGAACTACAGGCATACGCTACCATGCCCAGATGATTTTTTGATTTATTGTAGAGATAAGGTCTCGCCAAGTTGCCCAGGCCATCTTTGGGTCTTTAAATTGGCTTCTTTTCCAAATAATTTCTATCTCTTAAGGACCAACACACTTCCCACTTGCTCTGAAAGACTTCCCAAGTGTTCCTGCTATAATTCTCTTCCTCCTTTAAATTCCTATAGACATAATCATTTGTCACTTTTATTATTTCCAGAATATACTGTATACAACCAGTGCATGACATCGCATCGCTGAACATAGGGCCAGGCCTTTTATTTTTTAACACACACACGTACATATTTTAAAGACAGGGTCTCGCTATGTTGCCCAGGCTGGTTTAAACGTATATTATAAAACATTTCACATATCCAGACATGTACAGATGACACACTAACAAACATTCTCATAATGATGGAGGGTGTTTAAGGTATTTACAGGAGCCATTCAAGTTCTGTCCAGAATGTTCTCACTGGAAATTTAGAAATTGGCTGGTACAACCATGAGGTCATTAGGCCTTTAGTCAGGTTGCAAAAACAGTCCCAGACAAGACATGATAATTTTTTTGTATTACTGAAGTTTTTCTAGATAAAAGAGGAGTCTTCAGGAATTTAATAATTTATGTTATTTTAATGAATTTATTTATTTATTTTTAGTCAGAATCTCACTATTACCTAGGCTGGAGTGCAGCGGCACAATCATGGCTCACTGCAGCCTTGAACTCCAGGGCTCCCACCGCAGCCTCCCAAGTGGCTGGGACAACAGGCATGTGCTGCCATGCCCAACCAATTTTTTTTCATTTTTGTAGAGACAAGGTCTTGCTATGTTACCCAGCCTTGTCTCAAATTCCTGGGCTAAAGCAATCCTCCCACCTCGGTCTCCCAAAGTGTTGGAATTACAGGCATGAGCCACGATGCCCAACCCCATGAAAGATTTTTTTCTTAAATTATTCTACAAGCTTCTCTGAGACTACAAATACATTGTCATCTGATGTATGCAACAGAGCTGCCCTCAGACCTGAGATTCTGATGCCCCTCTGGCCCTGAGCCCGGCCCCCGCTGTGGCCTGAGCTCACACTAGCTTCATGCTCTGGCCTTTCCAGCCTCCATGCCTGCTTCCTTCCTCTCCTGCTTCAGTGCAGGTCTCCAATGTCCCCTGGCCTCCTGGGTTGCTGGTTTTGAACCATGAAACCTCAGAGGACACACATGGAATCCTTATCTCATACTCTAAAACTGACAGTATTAAGTAGTTACATGATGAAGAAAATATTAAGGGAGCACCAGGGCTCTTACTATATACTACTTAAAATATGCTTCCACTTCACATGCACTTGAAGCCATTTTCTAAAAACTAGAGAAATAAG